AATTGTTCATAACTTTTTTATTAACAACGAGCGACGGCTAAAATTTACGGATTGTTACTCAGGAAGGTGTCCTTGACAACATATGTCAAGCTCATTGAAATCGGAGGGGAATAACCTCTTTTCTATATATTTACCAAAAATACTATTAACTCAACTAAATGCGTTTAATTGAATTTCAGTTTGTTATCTGAAATACTTGTGTTTTCAATTCAAGCATATGGTAATAAAGATAATAAATTCGTATAAGTTGAATTAACAATAGTGGTAATGAACATATTTAATTCACTAAACCATGAATTGTTTTGTCGAACATAAGTTGTGATAATTTCAAATAAAAGATATTGTTAAAAAAGATGAAATAGGCAATTCTCATTTACATTAATTGAATATAATCTGAATTTCTTTGTACTAAGTATTTCATCTAATCAAACTGCTTATTTTTATAAGCAGACAAAATATTGTGTCGTCCTATTGTGTTGTACATTCAAAGTTATCTGTATTTAAGCAAATTATAATTTTGTTAAAATAACTAAATTGTCTTTCGGTATAACCTAATTATTATATCTATTGAAACATGATATCTTCTTACATTAATCAATATTTCATTGACAGCCCGTGACCGCTGCATATAGTTGAAGCAAATACTATTTTGTAACTTCAACAACTTTTTTTTCTCAGTGTACATATTCGTACCTTTCTTTCTGCTGCATTTGCTTGAACATGATATCCGCCAGTGGATCGGCAGGGGGTCTCTCTCCCAAAAGCCTCTGGCGATCCAGATCGCCTTGCATTTGTGCAAAAGCGTGTTCGCCTATGTTCATCGAAGTTTCCAATTGCGTCGAAAGTTCTACCGTCTCGTCGCCTGCAAACGCAATGTGTTAAAGAAAAAAAATTCGATTCTCACTCGAACTCTTCGCATTTTTTGTTCTTAAAACGAAATATTGAGTTGCTACCGTGTAAAGCGTGCTGAGGATTGTCAATAATTCTGATTTGTCTGTCGGGAAGTAAAGGCTCCCCGTCCGTACCGCCGATGTCGCTCGGTAATTGCCAGCAAGCGTTGTCTTGTTCTGCCAAATTTCGCGGAAAATAAAGCGGCAGAAGCACCTCGTATATTCCAAGATCGCACGGCTCTAGTACAAATATAACGCACGATAATGAATCGCTATATTGCTCCATGAATCTACGTACGGTTCCTGCGAAAAGAAATTTTATTTTTTTAGTTTAGTTTTTACTTTCTCTATCTCTCTCTCTGCGAGCTGTAATTAATAATTGAGATGTTTGCATCTGCAATCTTACTGAGAGCTATATGCGCTCCCGCGTCCGGAGGGTAGTTTCTTCGCACTGAATTTATTACGGGTAAAGCGATAGTGCGCAGTCCCATTTCCCTCGCCTTTTGCAGGACGTTTCTGTGATACAAAACAAAAACAATTCACAAATTAATAACAAGAAATATATAATAAATATATAACAAATAGATATATATATATATATAACATATATATATATCTATGTTATATATTTATTATATATTTCTTGTTATTAATTT